GGGGGGGGGTAGAGGCCCCTGGCCAGCAATGAGGGTTTCTGTCCCTAGAGAAAGGGAAACCCCCCCCCCCCCCCCCCCAATCGGGGGAGGGGAGGGGGGGGGGGCGTGCAGACGCTTACTCTCCCTGTCTTTCTCGCCTGCAGGATCATCCCCGCCAGCAGCCAGGACTTCCTTCTTAAGCACCTTGTGCCCAGCATGGATTACGACCTGTGTGTCTTGGCCATCTTTGACGACCTGGCCACCTCGCTGGCAGCCACCCACTTGCTGGGCTGTGCCCAGTTTACCACGCAGGAAGCCTACCCAGACTGCCATTCGCTGCACGTCCACTTCCTGGGGGGCGCCCTGACAGTGACGGTGGGCGGCATCATCGTGGCTTCCTTGCTGGTCTTCACAGGAGTCATGATGGTGAAGTACAAAGTCTGTGGCAGCGTCCACGGGAGCCTGCCCAGGGTCAGCAATGTGCACTCACAAACCAATGGCGGACACCCAAACGGCCTCCTGCCCCAGCGGACATCCCCTGCGGGGTGCCAGCACGGGCAGGCCAAGAGTGCAGAGCGCCGGATGGGAGGCGCTAGGCGGGGCGCCCCGGTTTCGGCCAAAGCCAGGCGCAGCAACTCCCTGGACATGGGAGGCGCCTCCTCCAGCGCCTGCTACAGCTATGCCAAGCGCCTAAGCTTCATGTGGGCCAAGCGCAGCCAGTCAGTCCACGGGAGGCTGGCGCAGGGCACGCCCCTTGAAGACAGCACCAGCACGCAACCCGGGCCCTTCCTTAACGTGGATAAACTGGAGGAAAGCGTAGTGTAGCCCTCATGGGGGAGGACTGGCGTCCTACCCCTGAAGCATCTGGGACAGCAACTCCCAACGAGGGGGCCCCATGGAGGGCGGATCCTGGCCTCACTTCAGTTGGTTGAGCCGAGCCTCCCAGGTAGAGGCCAGCCCTGCTGACCAGGCCGTGCTTTGCCCAGGGAAGAGCCCCCGAGCCAGCCAGGCTCAGGGCGAGACCTCCTGCAAGCTGGGGAGGGAGAGGGAGAGAGAGAGAGAGAGGGAGAGAGAGAGAGAGAGAGAGAGAGAGGGTGGGGGAGGCTTGGAAACAGCTTTTTCTTCTGCATTTTGCAGCTGACTAATTGAGATGCAAAGAGTGACCTGGATTCAAGAATCAATTATTTTGAAGAGGAAAGAAGACAACTTTTAAAGGAAAAAGAGTTTCCAAAAGAGAGCAAGAACATGCTATTCAATAAGTCTAAGTCATCAAGGATTTAAAGACAAAAGGGTTAATACAGAACTATTTCAGGCAAGACTGGATGTTGTCTGTGTTAAAACAGAGGTGTGAAGGCTGGGGGTTGGGGTTGGGGAATTCATGTTAAAGGCAAAATCTGTATGTGGCATTTAATGACCTCTATAAATGTCCATATGTGCGTCTCTTTTGGCATAAACGTTACTCCTGGTGTGCAATGGGGAGGGGGTTCTCCTCACTAAACTCACTCTGCAGAAAAGGGAGGGAGGGAGGGAAGGAAAGAAGGAAGCCAGGCAGCTGAGGGCAGCCCCCCTCCCCCAAACCCCAACTCTGATCCACAAAGAGGGCAAAAAATGCTAAGTCGACCTTTGCGATCCCGTTAATTGAAGTAATGCCAAGCGCCAGGAAAACGAGAAGGTCCAGGCAGTTCAAATGGCTGCAAAGATCGGTTTCTAGTTCAAACTCTCGACAAGAATCTGGCCAACTAACGGTCAAAGCAAACTGGGGAACTCAGGGTGAGCAGGACTTGGTTCTCTTGTGGGCGCAAAGAGACTCGAGACTGATGACTCGCTTGACCCCTTCCTCCCTTCAGCTCAGCCTGCTCATCTCCTACAAGTAACTTCTAAAAGGGAATTTGCATTTTTCCTGAAAGGTGAAATCCCACCTTGGGTGCAGATGTTTACTGCCTGGTGGGGCAGCGCTACTGTGGGTGACCCAGGGTCTCTCAAAGTTTGCCTGGTGAAGTGGAATATTTCAAACTAGGTCAGCTCTCTAGCCTGAATAACTTTGTTGTCCCTTTCAAAGGCGTTGCATTCTCCAAGAGCGACAGGTTCAGGAATGAGGCTAACAAAATGCCCTTCTGGCCCTTCCAGACTGCGGGCATCGCCCACTGCTCCTGCCAAGGGGATCTGGAGGGCAGGGATCAGTGGCAGCCCCGGAAGGAGGAGCCCCTGTCCTCTGCGCATGACCAAATGGGACCTTATTTCAGAAAGGGTAAACAGCCTACTGCCCTCTCTACCCGGTGGAGATGGCAAGCAGGCCAGAGGGGACGCTTGGGGAGGCTGAAAGAAGCGATAGGAGGTGGGGGAGGGGGACCTGACCCTCTGCACAAGGAAGACTCGCGTTCCCTGTTTTTCTTCACCCCGGAGCTCAGTCGGCCGATGCACAATCAAGCAAGACAGAGGAGGCTTGAGAGCCCCGAGACATGTGGCTCTCCAGGAGCCCAAGTGGAGCCACAGCCTCCCCCACTAAGCGTCTGCTTGAGCCGGCCACAAGCTGTGGGGAAGAAGAACCCCAGTGGTAGGCATGGGGCACAGCTCTCCAGAAGGTGGACATCCCACAAGACTCAGACCATCAGGAGAAGGCTGGGGAGCCTGGCCTTTCAGGGACGGGGCTGCAGCAGGCATACAGCCGCCCCCTTTGGAAGAGGAGGGAGGGAGGGGGGGTGGCAGGAGGGCATGCACAGAGCCCGCCCCCCCCCCCTCTGGAGAGGCCATCTCTGTGGCTGAGCTGGGCAAAGACAGATCATTTTCGAGCCATGGCAGGATCGACCTGGCCCCAAGCTAAGCTGCATCATTCAAAATCTCTGGGCCCAGCAGGAAGCACCTCTGGGCGGAGGACAGCCTGGAGACCAGAGCAAGAGATGAAGCTGAGAAAGCTCAGCTCCGGGTGAGCCTCCGGGGCCCACCATGAGACTCACTGAGAGCCTGGAGGGGCAAAGCAAAGATAAGAGCCGAGGTGGCGCAGTGGTTAGGGTGCAGTACTGCAGGCCACTTCAGCTGACTGTTATCTGCAGTTCAGCGGTTCTAATCTCACCAGCTCAAGGTTGACTCAGCCTTCCATCCTTCCGAGGTGGGTGAAATGAGGACCCGGACTGTGGGGGAAATATAAGCTGACTCTGTAAACCGCTTAGAGAGGGCTGAAAGCCCTATGAAGCGGGATATAAGTCTAACTGCTATTGCTGTTGCTATTGCTAAAGCAGAGGCTGCAGTCTGAGAGCTAGAAAAGAGAGAAGAAGGGTGGCTGGGCCAGCCTGATGACGCACTTCCCGCTCCTTTATCCCACCTTCCTCCCAGGTAGGTGAGGCACCTCTGGAGAAGGCTGGCACTCGCCAGCATGGACTGGCAGAAGGCGGGGCTCCTCACAGCCTTAGGGGGCACTGGGACTAGCCTGTCGAGGGCTTAAATACCTTCAGGGCCGAAAAACCAAAATCCCCCCTCTTTTTACGAACACAAAAATTGCTAACACGTTTAGGAGAAGGAGGAAAGATGACAGAGTTAATCTAACATGGCACCACACCATTCACAGAGTCACACTAATAACTTGTAAAGGCACACGATAAATGGTTGAGGGAAACCTTTCCCTTCTCAGAGAAGTGATGGGTCTAATTGTATCCTGAGTCATATATGACTCTAGTCTGACCAAAATGTATTACCCCATAACGCCACTTTTGCTTCTCAATAGTAAACAGGCTTAAATCAGGCAGCTTCATCAGTTCTCAAGCATCCATTCCCCAGAATATCTAGGCAGCATTTTACAGCCCACCGTGGCTTTCTGGGGGCCTGGCCAGCTGAACAACACGCAATGAATTTTTGACTTTAACACCAACATTTACGGCCCTTTCCTGTTTTTATTGATTCATGCCACCAGATGCCAGACAAAGGAGCGTGGGCGGCCTCTTATCCAACAGCTTTTTTCCCCAGAAAGCTTCCCATGTATGATACAGCTGGTAGAAGCAAAGGCCTTTTCCTTAGAGATATCGTGTATTTAATTCTCTAATCCAAATTAAATTGTGACAATTGCTGGCATCAGATGACACTCAATGCCCAAACCAATCAGCCCCAAGGCAGCTTAATGCCGTGGCCTAGTTCACACCACACAGCTGGGCTCCTGCAGAAGCCAAAGGCGAATTTCAGCTGCATCAGGCACATCGTTAAACTTTTCTTTCTCTTCTTCTAAAGCCCTCGCCTCAAACCAAAACCTGGCATCAGAATCTCTTGCAAAGGCCTCTTTCAATACAGATGAAATGCTACTTTTTAAGTTAAAAAAGCCCATCCAAAGCAAGAATCGCTTCCACAAGTTCCAAGGGCCGAGTGGCTGTGTGTGAATGGTGGCTGTCACGTGGGCAGCCAAAGGACGGCGCCTATAGGCCTCGGTTCTTGCTCCCGTGGGCCCTTCTGGGGACAGAGAGGAGGACTGCCAACAGCTGGCCCCTCTGAGCTCACCCCGCCTGGCTGCTTTACCTACGGGGAGCCTTGATTGCCAAAAGAAGGACTCTGTGATGCTGGTTGGAAACTGGCCAACTGGGATTAACTATGAATTGCCCTGATGTCTGTTTCTGCCTAGGTTTTGTCTGCTGTGGTGTCAGTCACAGAATATGTGGCTGTGAGCAAAATGCACAAAGACCAGTGGCCAAAGCTGTTGGCTTGAGAGGTCCGGGACACCTTTTGATTCATTTGGCACACGCATTGTGTGTTGTGCCTTTGCCTGAATTCAGTTAAACTCTCATTTTTAATTTTTAAACGTTATTTTGATCGTGTGAGACAGATCTGCATAAACGTTCTAAGAGCGAGCCTCATCTGGGACCAAGGGGAGCGAGAAAGGTTTGTTTGCACAAAGTTGTGGAAGGGCCACCAAAGGACGCAACGGCCGTATCCGGGTGTGCATCCGAAGCTCCACCGCCCTCCTGGCTCTGGGGCCCTTTCGAGTTCCAAGGAGAGAGGCTCACAGAGGCTCCTTGGTCAAAGTGGCTCATAAAGTCCACCACCAGGGAGCAGGGAGCTTGGCTTGCAAGGAGACTTCGGCTGAGCTAGGGGTGCAGTGGTGAGAGGAGTAAGTGAAAGGTCTTCAGAACTTAGAATTCTAAGAGGAAGAAGGGGCAAGAAGAAATAGCCTAAAGATAAAACAAAAGAAAATTGAAAAAACAGGAAAGATAAAACTAAATGAACCGAGAAACAGGAAAGAACCTGTTCTTCTAAGAATCCATAAAATAATCAGGAACTTGAAAACAAGCTAAAAGAGCTCAATAGACTGCTGAATATTATCTGACACACCTAGCATATATTGTCTGCTCATTTAAATGCACATGCAATGTATGGTTTAGTATGTTTGCGGAGGAAGGCAGCAGGAAAATGTAGAAGGTGGTCAGAGAGGATGTAACCTCAGTCAGTGGGGAATGAGGAGGGACAGGCAGCCGGTGCAGGGAATGTATCAAGACGTTGACTTAAGATGATGAACTTTGGAGAGAACCAAGCTTTGATAGCTTCTCCCTGCCTAACTGCAATAAACGAAATGTCTTCACTGTGTCTTGGCTGGTTATTGGTCAGGCAAGGGTGCCATTGGCAAACCTGTGAAGGAAAGTGGCCAGGAGCACATAACAGCCTTGGGGGCTCATACGGGATTCACATCCCTTCCACCACCGGGAACCCTTGGACACCCTTCCTCCATATCCTGGCCCAAAACAGGAAGAAGACAGTATTGTACCTACAAGGTTCCAGGTTGAGCCACCTGCACCAGAGGACCCACCAAAGGAAACCAAGGAATTAGTTGAAAATAATCAGGATTTAGAGGAGGAGGAGGAGATGAAAAAGAATAAGGAAGCACAAGGAAAAATGGACCCTCTTACATGGGCCCAAGAAGACAATA